TTGGGGGCTGGCGGGGAGGACATAGTCAGGTGTATTAAAGAAATATGATCCTGGGGGGCAAAGGGAGATGTAGTCAGGTGTATTAAAAAAATTTGATTCTTGGGGGGGCTACAGGGGGAACATAGTCAAGTGTATAATACAGTAAAAATCTGACTCTGAGGGGTGGCAGAGAGGACTTAGATAAATTATAGAAACATGACCATAGGGAGCAGAGAGCACATAGCCAGGTGTATGATAGAAACATGACCCCTGGAGGCTAGAAAGAAAATAGTGTCAGGTGTAACAGGGGACAGCAAAGAGGATACACTCAGCTGTACTATAAATATATGACCCTAAAGTGGGCCACAGAGGGAAAATATTTAGATGTTTACTAGAAATGTAACCCTATACACAGCAAGTAGTCAAATGTATTATATAGAAATATGACCCTCTGGGGTGGCAGAGAAGACACAGGGGTATTATAAAAATATGACCCTCGGGGGGCAGCAGAGAGGACATATTCATGTGTATTATAGAATTTTGACCTTCAGGGGCAGCAGAGATAATGTAGTCAGGTGTATTATAGAAATATGACCTTGACCCTCGGTGTAGCCACAGAGGGAACTTTGTCAAGTGTATTATAGAAATATGATCCTCAGGAAACAGCAGAGAGGATTTAGGTTAATTATAGAAATTTGACCGGGGAATGGAGTGGAGGACATAGCCAAGTGTTTTATAGAAATATAATAAATTGTACTAACATTGTGCCAGTTAATGAGAAATTTGTGTCAATAAAATAAAACATAACAAGTGTGAATGAAAAGCAGCCACTCAAAACTTCAATTGGCATACATTAAAACACTATATATGAGATCAGCACTTGTAACTGCCTATCCAAAAATGCTGAATGTGAACAAAAAAGTCCTATTTATAAACAATAAGGGATTGATATACTAAAACTGGAAGTGCAAAATCTGGTGCAGCTGTGCATGGTAGCCAATCAGCTTCTAACTTCAGCTTGTTTAGTTAAGCTTTGCCAAAAAATCTGGAAGCTGATTGGTTTCTATGGAGAGCTGCACCATATTTTGCACTCTCCAGTTTTAGTAAATCAACACCTAAGTGTCCTAATGTGATGAAATGTAGAGATTTGCTTCTTGAAATAATCACCACTGTGCCATCACCATGGAAAACCACTCAGCAAAAATGGCCCTTCAGATCATAGTAGGTCAAAACAAGCATATGTTGTTGATCAAACTGGTGAAGACTCCCATACATAATCTAATCCAATCAAGCCGATCATATACGTTACCGGGGGTGTCTCTTTAAATGTTACAACTAGTATTTCAGCTCTGCCTCAAAACTTGGACTTGTGCATGGAATAAAGAAAAGAAAAAATAGGGCAAAACATCAGAAAGAATGCCACTCACATTTAGAAAGTGCATCAATAAACTTGTACAGGCTCCCATACACCATCCGCTCTAATCGGACCAATACTGTACTTTGCTGGTACTGACTTCTCAGTTGTCATGACAAAAAAGCCATCTTGGCTCACAATAATGAAAGAATATCCCCCCAAAAAAGAAAATAAAACTTCCACAGAGTAGTAACCTTACTGTTAAAGTAGTTAGATAAATTATAGAAATATGACCCTTGGGTGGTGAAGATTAGGATGTAGTCAGGTGTATTATAGAAATATGACCCTTGGGTGGTGAAGATTAGGATGTAGTCAGGTGTATTATAGAAATATGACCCTTGGGTGGTGAAGATTAGGATGTAGTCAGGTGTATTATAGAAATATGACCCTTGGGTGGTGAAGATTAGGATGTAATCAGGTGTATTATAGAAATATGACCCTTGGGTGGTGAAGATTAGGATGTAATCAGGTGTATTATAGAAATATGACCCTTGGGTGGTGAAGATTAGGATGTAGTCAGGTGTATATAGAAATATGACCCTTGGGTGGTGAAGATTAGGATGTAGTCAGGTGTATTATAGAAATATGACCCTTGGGTGGTGAAGATTAGGATGTAGTCAGGTGTATTATAGAAATATGACCCTTGGGGGGGTGAAGATTAGGATGTAATCAGGTGTATTATAGAAATATGACCCTTGGGGGGTGAAGAGTAGGATGTAGTCGGGTTTACTATAGAAATATGACCCTTAGGAGGCATCAGAAAGGACTTAGTCAGGTGTTTTATAGAAACATGACCCTAGGGGGCCACAGAGAGAACATAGTTAGGTGTATTACAGAAATATGACACTTGGGGGTGGCAGAGGAAACTTGCAATAAAGGAATATGACTCTTGAGGTAGGGAGTGGCAGAGGGGACATAGGTTTATTATAGAAATATGATCTGGGGGGAAGGGTGTCACAGAGAGAACATAGTCAAGTGTATTATAGAAATATTAACCTTCGGGTGGCAAGTGGAAGTGGGGGTTATCAAAGAGGACTTAGTCTGAAGTATTATAGAATTATTAACCTCAGGGGAAGCAGGGAGGACGTAGTCTGATGTATTATAGAAATATGTCCTTTAGCCACAGTGTAGTCACAGAGGGAACTTAGTCTTAGGTGTATTATAGAAATATGAACCTTGGGAGGTGGAGAGGAGGATGCAGTCAGGTGTATTATAGAATAATTACCCGAGGGACGGGGGTTACAGAGAGAACGTAGTCAGGTGTACTATAGAAATATGACCCTTGTGTGTGTGTGTGTGTGTGGGAGGGGGTGACAGGTGGCAGATGGGACTTACAGATTAAGAGTATTAAAGAAATATGACCTTTGGGGGGTGGAGACGAAGACACAGTCAGGTGAATTATAGTAGTACTACCCTCAGGGACAGAGAGGAAGGCGTAGTCAGAATGATAGAAATATGACTTTTGGGGGTTGGAAGAGAAGATGTAGTCAGGTATATTTTAGAAATATGACCCTCTGGGGGTGGCAGAAAGGACATAGTCAGGTGTATTTTTATAAATTTGATCCTTGGGAGGTGGCAACGAAGACATACTCAAGTGTACTATAGAAATATGACCCTTAGGGGGGCAACAGGGAGAACATAGTCAGCTGTATTAACTAAACATAACCCTTGGGGGGCAGCAGAGAGGATGTAGTCATGTATATTATAGAAATATGACCCTTGTGTGTGTGTGTGTGTGTGTGGGGAGGGGGTGACAGGTGGCAGATGGGACTTAGTCAGATTAAGAGTATTAAAGAAATATGACCTTTGGGGGGTGGAGACGAAGACACAGTCAGGTGAATTATAGTAGTACTACCCTCAGGGACAGAGAGGAAGGCGTAGTCAGAATGATAGAAATATGACTTTTGGGGGTTGGAAGAGAAGATGTAGTCAGGTATATTTTAGAAATATGACCCTCTGGGGGTGGCAGAAAGGACATAGTCAGGTGTATTTTTATAAATTTGATCCTTGGGAGGTGGCAACGAAGACATACTCAAGTGTACTATAGAAATATGACCCTTAGGGGGGCAACAGGGAGAACATAGTCAGCTGTATTAACTAAACATAACCCTTGGGGGGCAGCAGAGAGGATGTAGTCATGTATATTATAGAAATATGACCCTTAGGGGGCAACAGAGTGGATGTAATCAGTGTATTTCAGAAATTTGGCCATTGGAAGGTGGAAGAGAAGATGTACAAAGGTGTGTAGAAATATGACCCTTTGAGTGGAGGGGGTGGAGGTGGCAGAGGGACTGTCAGGTATGTTAAGGAAATATGATCCTTGGGGGGTGGAGAGGAAGACATAGTCAGGTGTATTATAGAAATATTACCCACTGGAGGAAGCAGTGAGGATGTAGTTAGGTGTATTATAGAAATATCTCTCTTGGGGGTGGCACAGAGGATGGAGTCAGGTGTATTTTAGATATATGTTTCTTGGGAGGCAGGAGAGAAGTGTATAATAGTAGTATAAAAGTAGTTAAATGTATAAAAGAAATATGACCCTAGAGGTTGGGTTGGGAGGGAGGGGAGGGTTACAGAGCGAATGCAGTCAGGTATATTGTTGAAACAAGGGGGGGGGGGGGGGGGGGGTTGCAGAGGGGACTTAGTCAGGTGTATTTTAGAAATGTGACTCTTGGTAGGAGGGAAAGGGGCAGCAGAAAAGATGTAGTCAGGTATGTTTTTAAAAGGGCGTCAGAGAGGATGTAGTCAAGTGTATTTTAGAAATACGACCCTTGGGGATCAACAGAAAGGAATTAATCTGGTGTATTATAGAAATATGACCCTCAGGGAGACCACAGGAAGAACGTAGTCAGGTGTATTATACAAATATGACCCTTGGAGGGGGCTGAAAGAAGGATGTATTTAGGTGAATTATAGAAATATGACCCTTGTAGGTGGCAGAAGACCTGTAGTCAGATTTGTTATAGAAATATGACTCTCGAATAAGAGGGGGCCACAGAGAGAACCTAGTCAGGTGTATTATAATAATAGGATCCTTGAGAGAAGTGGGTGTCAAAGGGGACTTATTCAGGTGTATTATACAAATACAACCAGAAGTGCTTGTAGTGTGGCTGCTTTGGACATGCAGCTTGGAACTGTGGTCTGAATCCAAAAGCATCTGCAAGCCGTCGTTAAACTAGGGGCTGAGGGACGACAGCCAACACAAGGTCTCATCAGACCAGAGGCTATGGTCACACCGAGTCCAGTAATTAATGCCCTAGTACAGGGGTCTGCAAACTGCGGCCTGCAGGCCGGTTGTGGCCCTTTGCTTGCTTTTATCATGCCCTTGGGGCATTCCACTGATACGAGGTACTATCCCTTCAACTGACACCAAAGACAAGGCACTATTCCCCCCACTGACACCAACAATGTGGCACTATTCCTCCCACTGACATCAATGATGGGGCACTATTCCTCCCACTGACACAAAGGATGGGACACTATTTCTCCCACTGACACCAGCGATGGGACCCTATTCTTCCCACTGATACCAATGATCGGGCACTATTCCTCCCACTGTCACCAACAATGGGGCACCATTACTCCCACTGACACCAATGATGGAGCACCATTCCTCCCAGTGACACCAATGATGGGACACTATTCCTCCCACTGACACCAATTATGTAAATATTTTTACCCCCATTTAGTAAACCAAGCCCATGGCATTTGCTTTGCTTGCTTTTATCTGGCCCTTGGGACACTCCACTGATATGAGGCACTATCCCTTCCACTAACACCAAAGACAGAGCTCTATTCCTCCAGCTGACACCAACAATGGGGAACAGTTCCTCCCATTGACATCAATTATGCGGTACTATTCCTTCCACTGACACCAGTTATGGGGTACAGGGGCGGACTGACCATTTGGAAACCCTAATGCTCGGGGGGCCCCATGAGTTGTCAGTCCACCCCTGATAGGGTACTATTCCTTCCACTGACAACAACAATGGGGCACTATTTCTCCCTCTGACACCAAGGATGGGACACTATTCTTCCCACTGACAGCAATGATCGGGCACTATTCCTCCCATGACACCAACAACAGGGCGCTATTCCTCCCACTGACACCAATGATGGGACACTATTCCTTCCACTGACACCAATTATGTAAAAATTTTTTACCCCCATTTAGTAAACCAAGCCCATGGCATTTTCTACTCTCACTGGCCACAGTCTGGCCCCCCTAAAGATTGTTTCAAAAGTTTGGAGACCTCTGCACTAGTCAAAGTCTGGGTATGAATATTTTGAAGGACTTGATGTTACCCTACTTGCTGGCCAAGTTTGAACATTCAGGCCAGCACGGGGCTGGCTGCAGAGCTGCCTGGCTCAACGTGATCTGAGCCTTCGAGGCCTATCAGTGAACAGCTAGACGACAGCCTGAATAGGTGGGGGTTGTCCTACGCCCTTAAGCAAACGTTGCTCTTGGCACCCCTCCAAAAGGTAGTCTGGTCCCTGCCTATTAGGGCTCACAAGAAGCTGCAAAGGGCCACAGTAATGGTGGAGCCCTGCAAAATCTAAGGGTACTGGGGGAGTAATTGGCAGCCTGCTCCTTGTCCAAAGTACACAAGGTAAAGGTGCTAGTCCAGCTTATCAATTTGGGAACCTCCTCTATCCTACTTCCTGACTGCACCACCATGGCAGACCTCTACATGGTACCCAGTCACTGCATTTCTGGAGCCCAGCCAGGAGTGGAAGCCATCTGTGCCCTGTTACAGGCTGCCATGATCTCCCTGAATGAGGAACAATACAGACTGCTGCTGGAACAGTTGGCCATGCCTTTTAGGACTATTCCTTACCACAACATCATCTTCTTCATCAGTTGCCGGAAAAACACCTACTGGTCTTTGCAACCAGCCTAGAGGATTACAGCTGCACCTTGGCACTAGAACACCTGATGGGGGGCACTCCACCCATGCCAGGAGGTCAAAGACCTGATTGGTAACATGTTACAGAGTGGGGCCACCCAGGAGAGCTGCAGCCCATGGGCCACCCCCATTGTCTTGGTATAGAAGAAAGATGGGAGCCTGTGGCTCTGTGTGGACTATTGCAAGATAAATGCCTGCTCCTACTGGGATGCTTACCTGTTGCCCAGAGTGGAGAAGGGACAAATTTATTGTATGCCCTTCAGACTAAGTAACGCTCCCAATATGTTTCAGGTCTTGATGGAAAGGTGTTTGGAACATTTCAGTTTTGAGATGTTGGTCTACCTTGATGATATCATAATTTTTTCCAAATCATTTGCAGATCATATTCACCATCTAGCCCGGGTGTTCACCTGCTTAATCATGGGTTATAATTAAAGTCTAGCAAGTGCAGCTTAATGCATCAGAAAATCCAATACCTGGGCCACATTGTGGAGGCGGGGGGGGGGGGGGGGGGGGGGTTCCCTGAATCTGGCCAAGGTTCAAATGGTACAGGACTGACACTCCCAAAGACTATCACCCAGCTGTTGTGTGGCCAGGCTACACACAAAAAAGGGGGCCCTCACCCTCAATCCAGTACCAGTATCAGAAGCCCTAACAACAAGCCTTTGAAGCTCTCAAACAAAACCTGGCATCTGCAAATCTGCTGGCCTATGCCAACTACTCAAAGCCTTTCTGAGTATATACAAACAGAAGCTTATGAGACACAGGGGCAGTCCTGGCCCAAGAGCAGGAAGGCTGCGATTGAGTGATCGCCTACAACAGCTGCAGCCTTTGGCCTACCAAGCAGAATCCCCATAATTACTGCTCCTTTATGCTGGAATTGCTGGCCCTGGTGTGGGACAGAACGGAGAAGTTCACAGAGTTTCTCACGGAAGCAGCAGAAATAGAGATCTTCATGTATAATAAGTCCCTTGCATACCTAGAAATAGCCAAAGTGGGAGTTCTGGAGCAGATATGGGTCACCCGACTGGCTCGTTACCACTACGAGATACAAGCTGGGGAAATTTAATGGACATGCGGACGCTCTCTCCCACTATCCGGGAGTGACAAAAACTGTCCAATAGTGTGAGAACGATCTTGAGGCAGTAGGATCGTCTTGAGTCCTGGGGCAATGTACTCTGTCTCCAGGCATGCATCCCGCCTGAGCAGCGAGACATGCGGTAAATTGTCATCCCTCATTCACACCTTCTATGGGTATGTCAAGTGCTGCATGCCTCAAGTGGGCACATCGGGACCAACCGAACAGAGGCCATGGTCGGGAGGTACTTCTTTTGCCCACAGTTGGCAGAGTGGGTGCAATGAGCTTGCCAGGAATGCGCAGCCTGTTCCCTGCACAAAGCCTCTACTACTACTACCACGACTATTACTACCTCAGAGCGCCTTGAGCTGGTCACAATGAACTTCCTGACAGTCTTCAGCTCCCCCTTGGGGTTCAGTTATGCCCTGGTCTTCGTTGTCCAAGTTTGCTGTGGTAGTACCCAACAAAGATCGGATGTCCCTGACCACAGCTAAACTGTTTTGGAAATGCATGGTCCAACCGTATGGCTGCCCCAGACGCATACTCTCAGACCAGGGCCCAAATTTTGAGTCCCTAACCATGTCTGAGTTGTGCCATTTGAGTGGTAGCCGGAAGTCTCATACCTCACCTTACCACCCTCAGGGCAATGGGGCTTGTGAATGTTTCGTCTGCACTATGTTGTGGACTCTTAACCAAGGTCACAGAGATCATTGGCAGCAGCATGTGGGGGCCATGGTGTGGGCCTACAACATCACGGTGCATTGAGACATAGGCTGCAGTCCATTTTTCCTGATGTTCGGCCACTTACATGTAGATCTCTTGGTGGACTCTCAAGAGCGCCCCATGTCTGCACACACTGCATATATAGAGCATTCAAAGACCCATGCATTTAGTACTGGATAGACACAAGGACTTGGTCAAGGACTCCGTCCTAGGGGAACTGCTGTTGTGACCAGGGGACAGGGTGTTGGTAAAGAACATGGAGTGTTAAAGGCAGAAAGCTGGAACCCAAGTGGGAGCACATCCTCTCTGACCCCACTATGTAGTCTCAGGGGGCCCTGAACCTATTAAAATGTAGCTCCACTGCAACCTGCTGAGACCCTGCATGCTGAATGTGGATTGCTCCGCCAAGCCTGCCAAAGACAGAGAAGACAAGGGCTCCATGGATATCCCATAAGTACAGGAAGTCTCCTTTGAATGGTATCTGCCTCCTCTTGAACCAAAGCCTTCAGCTCCTGAGGATCTTGAAGAAGAAAGACCCATCATAGTGCCTGTGGACAGTCCACAGGCTTCGCAGCAAGAGGCTGCTGGCCCCACTGACTCCCTGGACTCTTCAGAAGATTCAATCTTTAGCAAAGGGGGTGTTGCTGACACTATTGTTCCCCAGCCACCCAAGGCTTGAGTCCCATGTGGTAGATTAGGACTCTGATGGTGACCCCACAGAGGATGATGGAGTTCACCTTCCACTATGGTCTAACTGTGGTCAACTCTCTGCAATTCTATTTTTGTTGTATAAAGTTTTCTGCTATAACCGTTTTATGTTTTTGTTGTTTCTTGTATTGTTCTTTGTTCTGTTTAATGCTGAGGACAGCATTTGTCAAAGGGGAGGGGGTTTTAGGCAGGTGTAGTCTGTATTCTCCACTGCAGGTGGCGCTCAAACTCAGCTGCAATGCAGACGGGAGATGAAGTTGAGAGAAACTGTGACCTTAATGGCCATCTTGTGTCAGGAAGAGTCTATTTAAGACTGACCCCTGAAATTGCACTGCTTAATTCGAGTGGCTAGTGTAGGGACAAGTTCCCCATCTGTTAGGGATAGTGCCAGTGAAAGGTCAAGGACTATTTCTACTTTCTCAGGAAGCAGCTCAGGATCGAGGAAGTACCTTTAGGCCAGACTGACCAGGTTGCACTCTGCTCCTCATGGCACATGCTGTCTGCATCGCTGAGTCTTCAGACCTCACAATTGTAAGTGGCATTGGATGGTGAGTCTAACCACCAGGCCTGATTGTACTATTAACCTACTATTTCAATAGATCATGCTTTGCAACTTGGAGCTCTGCGTGCTTACTGCATACCACACCATGCTGCACCTACCAACACCTGTGTGCAGGCAGTCCCATTCATATCAATTTCAAAGCAGAGGCTGTGCTCCCAATTTGACAACTGTGGGGGTGCGGGTGCAGAGAAAACATAGCCCTCACATGGGTGTATGCTTAAATACATCCTTTTAAGCCAGGCCTTACCGGCCCTATGTTAATTTCTAAATAAAAGTTTTCCACTAGTGTTGGGCTGAATGTTCGAATTGAACCTAAGTTGTGTTCACTGAACCATTGTGTTCATTGACCGTTCATGTTCGCTGAACACATGAATGATATGGGCAATTGGCAGGCTAATTGCCCACCGCGCCCCACAATGCACTGCGCCCTGACAGTGCATTTTGATTGGCCAGTCACAGCACAGGATGACTTCACAAGGGGGCGGGGGTTCACCTTGTGATGTCATGACTGTATTTAAGAATTGTTATCCCAGCACAGCTGTCAGACGACGGGAGCCAGCATCACAAGTGGAGCGTTCTTTTTTTTTTTTTGTGAATGGGTAGCGGTACCATGTACCCCATACTCATTCACATGGGGGGGGGCGGGGTTGTGGGGAAGAGGCCCTTGTGCAAATCAACATGGGGAAAAGGTACTATGGGGGGGAGCCCCCCATGTTAAGGGCCTGTGGCCTGGTATGGTTCAGGAGGGGGGGCGCTCACTCTTCCCCCCCTTTCCTGACCTGCCAGTTTGCATGGATGGATAAGGGTCTGGTATGGATTTTGGGGGGACCCCCAATCCATTTTTGAAAAAAATGTTGGCGGGGGGTTCCCCTCAAAATCCATACCAGACCCGAAGAACTTGGTATGGATGGAAGGGGGACCCTTATTGTTTTTTTCAAAATATTTTTAATTGTCGGGCAATGCCAGCAATTCTTTTTACATTCAGCTGTCAGTGGGGAACACCTTTGACAGCTGAAACATGAATGAATGTTTCACTACTAAAATACCACATGACTTAATAATATAACTCATGCGGTATTTTAGTAACTGAGCGTTATCTCCGATGCCGGAAGATACCACTCAGTAAATTGTATGTGAAGTTCGTGGTCGAACATTCTGTAGGTTTGGCCTATTCTCCACATGTTCA